GTTAGGCAAATATTTCGAACAGGCCGGTCGTTGGATGCAACAATGAGCGGTATGGACACGGTACCCCGACGTAGCGAGCAAAACGTATCTCGTCGATTTATTATAGCCGTTTCTCCGTTCGACGATACGCGCTGGAAATTCATCGAATAATTTCAAGAGCACGCGCGGCATACAACGGTTCGCGGATATTATTTCGTTCCTTTCGAACTACGAATGCCATAGGCAGGAAATAACCGGGTAATCAAGTCCATCGACGAAACAAAACTCATCGCCGTGGCGCGCGGCCGCCATGGCAGGGGCCACGTTAACGCCTGGAAGCAGGGTTGCGGTTCCGCGAGCCAACGGCAATTCGCGCAGCACGCGAATACGCAATTATTTTTAATTGCACCGGGGAATGGCGATCGCGTTCGGGGTTTCCGCGGCCGCATTAAAATGCGTCTGGGTGTAAAATTGAAAGCTGCAAATCCGACGCGGTCGCGCGCGCCATCGCGGGGCCCCACGTGTCCATTCGATAATGTGATTTTCAACAAATAATTTCGCGTCGAACACGGCCCACCCCGTGCGGCGGTTTCGCGTCTGGAACACGCTCGGCTTCCGTACGCCTGACTCGTCTCGCGCGGAGGGTCCTGTCCCGGTCCCGGCCTATTAACGCGTTTCGTGCTCGAAATCGTCGCGAAATCGCGGCGGAACGACCGACAGGGGACAAAGCGGCCTAGTTACCGCGGGCTCGTTCGCCATTCATCCCCCTCGGGGAACGGGCCACGAAACGATTTTAAGTGGCCTCGCGAATTATCCCCGAACCGCGACCGATCATCCGTGTTATCGCGATTGCACCGTCCCCATACGCGCGTTTTAACGACGCAGCGGCTAGCCGTGCTCCGCTTTTCTCTCCGCTCCGCGAGATCTCGCCGAATCTCGCCGGATAATTGCGAATTTTATTACGAACCAGCGACCGCACCCGCTCCGCTCGACCACGCGTGTAACCACCTACCACCGTTTCGTTCCTCCTTTCGCCCCTGCGTTTTTATTCCCGATGTAATTCGCCACTCGCAATTTCCGATACGAATACACCGATACCATCGCGCTTCTTACATCATCGACGGGTTTAAAAAAAAACCTTTCCCCGCCCCCCCCCCCCCCCCTCGGTTCCCTCCACCGTGATCGAGTCGCGAATCGAAGCGAAGCGTGGCGATTCGACGAGTCGATAAGCGCTGGCGGATTCTTAGAATTTCTGCAGGCTGTGGAAGCCGCGGAGGCCGGGAATGCGTTCCGCGAGCCAGACCGGACCCGGAGGACTCGATTACCGATCTTCAAAAATACGGCAGCCAGTCGGGCCTGGCGGTGGTTTCCAAGGAATCGTATTCAGCCGGGGTGAAAAAAATCGGCCGCCTGTGAGATTACGGTGCGCGCCTAGCAAGCGTAGCCAATTGTATATCGGATAGGCCGCGCGGTACGCGCGCGCGGCGGACTTCCGAGAGATGGAAATCGCGTTGTCATCGGGTTTTATCGCAATTATCGTGGCGCTTGTGCAAATACGCGCGCGTCCGTGGGAATGTAATTAGCTCGGTACCGCCGGTGCAAACAATAACGTTCCGCGGAGGAAAGCGCGGGTGCACGCGAATTCGGGATTTTTCTCGATCCTCCCGATAAACGCGCACCGTCTACCACCGCTTCCGAATACGCGACACCGCTGCGCCTCGCGTCGTTTATTACCACCGCGCAAAAGTTACGTCGCGGTTTCTCCGCTTCCGGATGAAACCACTGCGTATGGGAAATCGCGTAACGCACGCGAGATTAAGTTTTACCGTATCTCGTTTATCAACAGCCGCCTCGAGATCGCCGAGTATCTCGTTTAAACTGGTATTTACGAGTAAACGGAGTCTATCGTTTGATCTTCCGCGATACGCCGAGTTTACCGTTTCGCGAGAAAGCGAAAAACGCGACGCGTTGCCACGCGTCTTGCAGGGGGAATAGTCGCACGAGGAATCCGCGGTGGAACGCTTTCTCGTTGCGTTCGTGTACATCGGCTCGTTACGTCTGCTCGTTCGCTTTGTACGCGCCTCGCGCACGTACGCGTAACACCGTAATCCACGGCGACGCTCGATCAGACGCCGCCGCGGCGACACGTACACGCACTTTACATACTACGCGGCAAATCTTCGGCTGCTTCGACGTTTCGCCAACTGTTACTTCGTTTCGCGCCTCAACTCTCGAGTCACCGCTTTAATTTGTTGCGCAACCCCTAACCGTGTCAACTCGGATCCACGCACAGTTTGCTCGGCAAATTCGACGCGTATCCGGAATTATGGCCAACCACCTAGGCTACCGCCGCGGCTGGAGTACCAAGTTGGCGAACTCGCGAAAGTTGGGGCTCGTCGCGACGCTGCGCTCCGCGGCGAACCAGTCGAAGAAAAGGTGGAATTCACTGGCATGTAAATAGGCGCAGGGAACGAGAACGGAAAAGAATACGAGGGGTTGATGGCGGGCGGAGCGAGCGCGGCCGGGTGAAGGGAGTCTCGGTGCAGCGGCGATGAAAGGAGAATCAGGCTGGCGCGCGCTCGATTCTATTCACGCGGTGAACGCGAACGCGCACGCGGATACAAGGTTAGAAGAGATAAGCATCGTCGGATTAATTATGCGTAATGCGTCGGACGTGTGCACCGCGTGCGTGCGCTTGGACGTGCGGCCCGAAGACCGCGCTGGCTCCGCTCTATTCAATTATCATTGTTACTACGGGAGTTTACAGATGTTTCCGCGATAATCACGGTGCCGCGCGATTGCGCGTTCATCCTGCCGACTCGTATTAACCGCCATTGAATGGCAACGGTAACGGGACAGAAAGAGAGAGAGTGAGAGAGAGAAAGGGAGGAGAGAGAAAGGAGGCTCGGGGCACGTTGTCCAGCAGCCCGATGCGGACGTAGCGAAACGCAGGAAGGGAAACAAAGGGCGGAGAGGGCACCGCGAGACCGCCACGCGACTTAATTAGGCTCGTTGGAAAAATTCACGCGGTCCCGGTTGCGCTCGTAGCGGCCGTGGCAGTGGTGGCGGCGGCGTGTCGCTCGACCACTGGCACCGCTCCAGATATCCCCGTCGTTAGTGCCTTTGAACGCTTCCACGAGATCGTGCATCGCTTGCGACCTGCGTTGCTATTCGGTGACAGCTATGGAAAGCGCGGTGCAAAGATCCAGACGGAATCCTACGTGGTTATCGAAATCGGCAGTGCTCGAATTTAACGCGTACTTTCCCGACTCGGTATCGTTTCTCGAAGAGTAATCTTTGCAAAACGACACCGATTACCACAACTCCCGCGATAGTTTCGAATCTCGATATACGCGCAATGTAATATCCGAACAGTAAACGACAAAGAATCGATATTTCGAGAGCTATCGTAACCGTAATCGGCGTGCTTCACCGATTTCCTTTCTCTATATCGGTTATAGAAAATAACAGTCCTCGGAATGCGTTTCGCGAACGGGAATCGATATAGCGAGAGTTTTCAACGCCAGCTTACGAGGTGGTTTCGAGTTAAAGTCAATGAAACGAGATGATCGAGCGAGTTTAGATTTAACGGAGCGGATGTGCGAAAGGGTACGACTATTAATTCGCGACAGGGTGGAAGTAAGACAGCGGTGTACGGGCCACTGTGAACCGTTCGACGGGGGTGTTTGTAGCGACTGTTCGGAGCGTGCGTTTGGAGCGACCACCAGGTCGGATTTCGCGTGGCTCGGAAAAACGAGAACGAAAGCATAACCGGCGCAGCGTCGAACGGAAATAAATAGTTGGGAAGTTTCTGCTAGGATTCCGGTTGTGCAGCCTGCGAAAGCGCGGGGAGGGAAACACGGTATTGGCGTTGCCGCGCTCTATTTCCGTCCCTCTGTTTTTCGGAGCCCTTTTTCTCTTTGGCCACCGCCGCTTCGTTTCGTTTTCTATATTCCTTCTCTCCGTTCCTCTCGGCGTTGGCTCGAATGTTTTCATTTCACGGCGTCCCATTGTGCGGCGCCCGCTAAATGCCGAAACGCTGATGCGAAAACTGTTTTCCTTTTTTGCCTTCGTTAACCCACATTCACTCGGCGCGCACTGCGTTCGACTCGTAGCTCGCGGCTCGTTCGCCTAACCCTCGAGAGTTCGTCCCGTGAACGCGAGCGAGCACACGCCCGTCAACCCTTCCCACTTTCCTCGCGTTTATTCCGTTCGTTAGCCCGAATTAAGCTGATTTATACCGGTTCCGCAGACAACCGCGTTGCAATTTTCCTTCCGGCACGCGGTACCCCTCTCCGACCCCCGCCGCGTGTCGTCGCTGTGGAAAAATCACGCGGACACAGGAGAACGAGGAACCGAGTATACGTCCCGTCGATCGGGATCGAGGGATGTTCGATCGTTTCTGGATGGATACTGGGGAGAGAGAGCAGGGAAGCTATTCGCGCGGAAAAAAAAATCCACGCGACGAGACGTCGTCGTTACGAGTTTCAGCGGCAGCAGGAGGAGAGCAGGTGCGCCAGCTGGATTAGGCGCGAAATCGCACGGATAACGTGTTTTCCTTCGGTAATGCCGCGCGACAAAGGGATTTCGAGAGAATGCGACTGACATCGAGTTTAAAGCTCGACAGGGAAAAAAAAGGAAAACGCACGCGATGGGTGTCGGGCGCGCGTAAACACCCGAACAGATGGGCGCGATGATCCCCGATGGATTGGGGGAATTTAGGAAGGATTCCGCGCGTTTATTCCGTTTATCGATTCTAATTTCTCTGTCGGGGGATTAAAGGAAGCCGTCGGAGGAATTCGAAATTTGGCCTTCCACGTGAAAGTTTCGACGTGGCTTTCACGCGTTGAACGTACGCGCCACGAGTTAACCCCCGGCGACGCGACCCCCCGATAAGTCTAGATGCTCCTGCGCGAAAAATGTTCGAACTCGGTGAAAAATTGCGTGGCCGCGTGGTCGGTGTAACGCTCGCGGTAGCAATTACTCTCACCCTCTAACGATGCTGGTTGTTTTGTTTGCAGGCGTAGTCGGAGCTCGGAACTTCACGATGGAGTGCCGCAAGGGTCGACGGAAAGGTCTACTCAGTGGCCTGGTGTTTGCGTGGCTCCTAACCAGCGGTTGTACCGTCGCGGCGCGAAATATAGGTGAGTGCCATGGTATTTACGATTTCAGCGCGCGCCGATTCCAAACCGGCGACCTGTCCACGGGCTTCGGCTCTGTCCTTGTGCCAATTAAGCCTCCCCACAGAGGAGAGCGCGCGAATATTTACGCGCTGCACGACAGCGCGACCGTGTTCTCGGAGAAGGTGAAAAATTGTCGCTTGCCAGTCGAACGCGAGTTTCGACCGGAGGACGACGAAAAGCCCGTGGCACGGGTCGAGGGGAAGGTAAGTCGGCGCTTCTGCTTTCTTGCATGCCTAATAATTGGTAAGGAGGAAATATTTCGCGGGTCCAGATACCATAGGACGTAGATTAGAACCCTGTCGCTATTGAATACTCGACGACAGAGAAATGCGTTGCTCTCGTCGTCCTTTTATTTCTGCCAAATCCCGAATTATGCCAATTTTTTTTTACACCTCGTCTTTGCCGAAGAGTACCAAAGTATTTTGGTCAACTGTAACGCGCGACGCGTAGTGATACCATAGGACGTAGATTAGAACCCTGTCGCTATTGAATACTCGACGACAGAGAAATGCGTTCCTCTCGTCGTCCTTTTATTTCTGCCAAATCCCGAATTATGCCAATTTCTTTTACACCTCGTCTTTGCCGAAGAGTACCAAAGTATTTTGGTCAACTGTAACGCGCGATGCGTAAGGTATAGTTTGCTCGAATCGAGAAGCGCGTGGATGTACGCAAATAGCAGTACCGATTAGCAGCGGAAAGGTACACGCGCGCTTGGTTTCGCATCGCGTGGCTTTACTTGGCTTTAACCCTCGGCATTTTCTCCGCAGCGACTTGCTTAACATTCAATGAACCGAATTTAAACCGGCGGAAAATCAATGCGTTCGATTGCCCGCGAGTACACGGTGGAAAAATAGTTATCTCCGAACGGGGGCGGTGTACAGGCATGCAGAACGAAAGAGGGGTGAGTTTGGGAGCGGCGGTTTGGCCGGTAGCGAAGGGCGGACACAACGCAGATCGACGCACTGCATATCCGGTGGAGCGAAACCGCAGCACGGCGGCCACGCTTACGGGTTGACCGTTGAAACATTTATCGGAAAGCAAACACCGGTGTGTTTAATAACGAGGATGGAAGTAGCCGGCCAGTGTGTACACTGCCGCGGCCTGTTACATTCTCCTATCGCGGCGGAGATCGTCCCTTCGACCCCCTTGAAAGACCCTTAGGAAACGGACCAGGAGGTCGCGGCGGCGGCAGTGGCAGCTTAGGAGGCCCTGTACCGTGTGTACGGAACGCCACATCGAGAATTAACTCATTCGCAGCGTTAATCGATTTAGGAGAAGCCGCGTGTGAAGTGATATTGTTGCGGGAAGAATCGACGGAGGCGTGTTTGCCGTGGCCGCGTTGTAATTAGAGGACAAACACGCGTTACGGGGGTAACTGTGGTTAAATATTTGGAAAAATATACCGGCAGATGTGCGCGCGGTGGCCTGTTCTATGATTCATCGTCGTCGAGTGGATCGTAATTCGCGTGGAAAGTACGCCAGGGTGTTTTACGATTCTCCAGCTTTCCCTAATACCGCGCTCGTGCTACGGACAACCGCTTGTTTCCTGCTTCGAGCCTTTTTTCGCCGATAAAGTTACATCGAAAATTCATACGAGGTACTTTACACGGTTCTTTCGCGGGTTGCCAGTTTCGAGACAAAAAGCACGCGGATCGTATTCCGTGCACGAACCGTGGGTAAAAAGGGTGGAGATTTGGTTGGTTGCGCAACCGAGCCGAAGTTTCGGAACGCGTCCTGCACACACGTCGGAGCGGATCCGAGCATTAACGAGCGGCAGTCTCGAGAGCGATTTCGAGTTGCAAAGGGTCGCGTAAGGAGAGAAGTCCAGGGTTAGAGGGGTGAGAAGAGTTTCTCTCTATTCCTTCGCGTTATCGCACACTCGGCTGCGCCTAATCCGCGCGCAACCGTCCTCGTCCCTGCGTTTCCACTGTTTTGCCCTTCGTTCCATCGACCTCGTATCGCGACCCTGCTACTACTACCCTTCGAGCACTCCAAGGAACTCGTGCTCGTCCGCCACACACACGTACATACATCCACGGGGAACTCACGCGATAGATAAATCAAAATCTCCGGCATTGTGCACCGCGCGGGGTGGACGGCTCAGACGGCTTTGGCAACGTCTTTGATTCCGCCGCGAGGAAACGGAAGTAACGGTCGGAGAAAAATGGCAGCAGGTAGATAAAGGGCTAAGAACGGCCGTGACGTGACCGTTTCGAGCAGCCAGTCGATTTTTATCTTTTATTTATTCGCTATATCGCGTGGCTCGATTGGCCGTGATTCTGAAAAATCTCCACTTCGGCACGAACCGTTGCCCTACTCGATATTCTCTCATCGAGCTCTACCCTCCTCGTTCCGTCTGAATATTTTTCTACGCGAATCGATACGTCATCCGGTCGTATTTATCCGCGCGATTCGCTAAACTGCGTAAAGTATGGAGGAAAAATGGTTCAAGGGTCGAGCAAGTTACACGATTGCCAGTCGAGGGCTGCTGAAATCGCTTGTTTTCCGATCGTTGGATCGCTCGATGTCGCGGAATCGTTCCACGAAAGTGCCATCGAAGCCAAACAACAAACACACGCGGACCAGATAAGCCACCTTTAAATTCCTGCCAAACTCCGCGTCAACCCCCGGCTCTCGATTCCGGGTGTCGCGACGCGCCGATAAGGAATACAGCCCCGGCATTCGTTGGCGTCGTAGTCGAGAAACGTTCCGTACAGCTGGAAACGGAAGTGCGCCGGCTCAACGTCGTTCACCAACGACCGGCCAAACAACCTCGTCCCGTCTGAACCTACCACCTCCGGCGCGTCTCCACCCTCCGCTTTCTCTCTGGCTTTTCCAGCTAACCCGAGGAACCGTAACTCGCCGCGAACCTTAGCGTCTAAGATTTGTGGTACATCGGCAGCACACGGTGGCCCCAATTTACTGCGCATTACGCCGCTTTTCCAGCTTGTTTCTCCTTCCACGCCAGTTTTCGTTCCTCCAGCTTTTCGTCCTCTTCGTTCGTTCCCCGTGTACCGTAATACTCGCTCGATCGTTCTTTCTCCCTATCGGCCCTCGTGCGCCGCGTACGTGCGGCTAACCGAGTTCCCTCTTCGAAACCTCCTCTCCGCTCGCGACGTTTTCACGCGTAACCTGCTTTCGCGCTCGTATCGGGCAACCGTACGAGAAGGAATCGAACCGAGATCCTCTATTCGGCGCCGTTCTAGGGGACGATTATTACAAGGTGTCGAAGTTAATTTCGAAGGTCGTTCGAAAACACGTTTATCGCCGATTTTATTGCGAACATCCGCGTCGCGAAAGCTCTCTGCCGTACACCGTGTTTACGATGATGGAATGTTTTACGAGTCTGTTAACTTTCCTCGGTAATTTTTCTGCATTCGTCGGAGGGGGGCGAGATACAGATAGCGTATCTCGCTGTATATTTTTCCTTCTTTTTCTTCCTGCCACGCGGTGCGATGTGTATCGTGGCTCGCTGTTTAACCACGTAACAATGCCCAGATGACGACGGCGAGGACGACGAGGCTCGTTGAAAGCCGCTTCAACGTGACTAATCTAATTTCCAATCATGCGCGAGCGGTCGCTGCGAGCACAGTTCGCTAGCCGTCTCTTCTTTCTTCTTCTCTCTGTGCCTTCGGCGTGTTTTCGTCGAGTTCATTGAGTTCCACGCGATTAGCCGTTCAAACGGTAACGACCTGTCTGAGGAGCGAATTTAACTGGTCACTGACACGCGCTAGCGTTTCGATTCGTAATTACAAAAAGAAGGGAGAAAAAGGGGTGCAGCGTGCTCGCGCATTAATCCTGTGCAACGTTTAATCTCATTTTTGATTCGATCGAATTAATCCGAGCCGATACAGCCGGTCGAATTGATATCTGTTTCGCGAGTCTACCACGACGCCGCGTTTATAGCTCAATAAACGTAACATCGTATTATTTACACGTTATTAATCTCCTTTTACGAGGACAAAGAGAGATAATTAAATTCAGCCTCGCTTCCATATTAGCGATCCAGATCGGGTGCAAGTGGATCGTGTTTCTTAAATTGCCCCGACTATTATCGGTATCGTATCGGTAAAATCTTTATTGCGCGGTGCATAATTACAAGGCAGAAGAGCCGATCGTATCCACGCGCGTTTATCAGGCTGAGTGGGTTCGATTGCCGCAAAAATCTCTCAGCCCGATGGAAAACGAGCGAATGAAATCCTGTACGAAACTTGCGCCCCCACTGCGACCGTCCTCGTCGCTGCTACTTCCACGTACTCTCTACCGCTTCTTCCGGTTCCCGGCAGCTCGTGTGGAACTTCGTTCTCTTGCCGCTCGCGTTTTCCAATTCGCGCCGAATGGATCGGTCGCGCGGAAAATAAGAGATTGCCGTGATCTTCGCGTCTCCTCTCCCGTGGTCGTGCCGTCGCGCCTCCGCTCCTTCTTCCCTCGTCGTCTCGTGACACCGAGGTAAAGGAGAGAGAGAGAGAAGATTCGCCGTTACGAAGGTGGAAGCAGGTGGAGTGACAAAGGGCGGGGGGCAGGAGAAGAGAAGAAGCGAGTCTTTCAGCCGGAATTCCTGAACGTGGCGGCGGTGGTTCGACGTCGGGTAGAAGTAAGGGGAGGACTTTTAATTCTCGTGACGCTTACTTCCGGCGTACGTGACCCAGTTGGCGAACGAGAGCGCCTCAAAAATTGCAGCCAACCTTGGCTGTGCCCTATTTCAACCTGTTTTCTATTCGCGCAGGATCAACTCTCACCCCCCGTCCCGTTGGTTTTTGACCGTAATTGAAAATCTTCGCTCTCCTTTCATTCCCACCCCGCGCGCAAGCTTTCTTTCGCTGCGTCTTTTTTCAACGCGACCGTGGCCGCCACCTCCGGTCCCAGCATTTGCATAGAGTAGTCGTTGAGCGGAGCGCTCGACGCTGGATTATCGTTTCCTTTTTATCGGGGTCGTGGCATAGTTCGCGCTGCGTTAGCCT